GATTTCCTGGCTTTTTTAGCTCAAGTTAGTTGCCTTTTTAGCTCGAATTAGTTGCTTCAACATGGAATTGACCATCGGTTGACGGCTTTGAATCTTCATTGTGACGCGTTGTCCGGCGTTTAACACAGTTTATACTCGTAAGTATTTTGGAGTCTACACAGTTTAAGCTCTTAAGGAGTTGGAGCGGGGAGGTCTAGTTTATACTCATACACTCCTGGGAGTTATGTTAAGTTATCCTTAAGAATATTTTTTAGAAAAATATTCTCCAGAAACTTCTCAACAAAGAGGAGGGAATAGTTTATACTCGTATACCTTATTGGAGTATTCTTTAGGTTCGAATAATCTGAACCGGCCCAAAAAATGTGCCAAAAAGGCAGTATTTGGGTTCAAAAATCTCTCCAACCCTTCCAAATATGTGGTAGAGGGGTTAAATAGTTGAAGGACTGAACCGTAGGTTGATCTAAAGTCGTTCCAATGCTTAATTCAGCTCCACTTTGAATTCTGGTTCAAATTTGGTTCAAACTGGTTTAATTTGGCTCAGACTGGCTCATTCTGGTTCAATCTGGCTCAATTTGGCTCATTCTGATCTGGTCTGGTCCAGCCAGGGTTCAATCTGGCTCAATTTGGCTCATTCTGGCTCATTCTGGCTCAACCTCGCTCAATCTGGCTCATTCTGGCTCAATCTGGCTCAACCTGGCTCAATCTGGCTTGGTCTGGTTCAGCCCTGGTCTGGTCTGGTTCAGCACTGGTCTGGTCTGGTTCAGCCAGATCTGGTTTAAGGCTATAAAAGGGTTTTTTTTTCTTTTTTTCTTTTTCTTTTTCTTCCTCTCTTTCTAGGGCCGGCCACCCCCTCCCTCTCTTCTCTTGATTTCTCTTCCCTCGAGCATCCATTCTCTTTCAAACCTTGATATTTGTCTTAGCTCTGGCTTTCCTTTGAATCTTGGACTGAGAAATCTCCCAAAAACTCCAAACCAAAAGTTTCTTTCAGGCCCCTCGAGCACGTGGTTCAAGTTTCCTTAAAGGTCTCGCCTTTATTGGATTTTGGGCTTTTCTTCAGGTAAATCCTCCGCAATCTTGATCTATTTCATGTTTGATCTAGTGTATGGAGTCGCGGGATCGCATATAAGGGTTGAGGGTGTGATTTGATGCCTCAAGCTCGCCTTTTTAGGGGTAGAATTGCGATAAAAAATGGGATTTCCCCTTTTCTAGATCTGATCCCTCAATTTACCTTGCAGGTCTCTATGTCCCGTATGGCGAGGGGTCAATCCTCTACCGCGCCGAATGATGGCGCGCCTCCCTCTTATGCTGGTGAGCTACTTTTTCTGGAAATTTACAAATTGGTCCATTTTTTCTTGGAAATTTGCAAATTGGTCTACTTTTTCTGGAAATTTACAAATTGGTCCATTTTTTCTTGGAAATTTGCAAATTGGTCCTTTTTCTCTCCCTTTTTTTTTTTACCCCCCGTTGTTCTCCTTGGTGAGGCAACCGGGAAAAGCCTTGATTCTCCTTGGTGAGGATCGACGCTTCAAAGATATGTTTTGCTTGGTCAAAACACTATCTCATAATAGATAAAGGGGGCGTTTTGTCGCTGCGCTGTGCCTTATAAGGCAGGGATATACCCTATCTTATGAAGGCGCAACGTGGCCAAAACGTGACACCCTTTATAAGGCAATGACTCTATCTTACCCTTTCGTAAGATGAGTTCAATTTCCTTTTATAACTCGAATTAACAAACGTTTAATTGCTTGTTCTCAGTTGAGTACCCTTCTGGAGCGTTCTCATCTCACGCAGTATACGGGCGTCGTGGCGAGTATTACTCGACCTCCGACGATGTTTCCCCTATCCTGGTCACTCCTCAGTTCGTCTTGGGCACATCGACTGAGGTTGCTTAGGCGGTGAAGGAAGGTGGGCACCGATCTCTTCGACAGTTGATTACCGATGCACCTCTGGTGAAGGACGCCAGTTCTATTCAGCCTCTCCGGAAGAGCGATTTCTTAATTGGCGACTCTGTCGAAGACCCGGATGCTGTGTTTATTGAGGCTGAGCAGTGGCTTCATAAAACTGGCAGTGGCTTCATATACTTGCCGAAGATTCCTCGGCATCGTTCATTGACTGAGATCAGGCGTCAGGCCGTGACATGGGAGATGTCGTGGCGCTTGACGGAGGAGCATGAGAGCGTCCATTGCGGCTACATTACTCATCAGGCGTTTCCTGGCTCGAGCAGAAGTCACATCACCGGATTGCGTCCCGGAGTACTGGGGCTGGATGCACCACCACGTAACGAGTTCCTCGCCACCGCTTCTACCTTGAGGAATCGCCTTGCTGCTCTAGGACGGGAGATGCCTGCGACGCATCACAGGATTTATGGTTGGGTCCATTCTTTGGACAAGTCTTGGTGGACCCGTATGACGACGTATGTCTTGAGCCGATGGGGCGAGGAGTTGCACGCTTGTGGTTTATATGCAGCCGTTCGTGCCACCATGTATGGCTTGCCTGTCAGCGCAAGGCATTTCTGTGCTTTGTTCGAGCTTTATAATTCAGATTCGAACACTTTTCTGACCCGGCAAGGGGAGTTGGGTTTGGCTCTTCACGAGATGCACAGGATTTCTGGCTTACCCATGGGACAGATGTTGTATCAAGAATACTTTCCCTCCAACCATGAATTAAGTCCACTGAAGGATCGTATGCCCGATCGCTACGAGACTCTATGGGATCTCACTTGTCACTATCATATAGCTTTGACGCAGTCTGAGCCTTTAGCAAAGAGGACTAAGACATTCGTGAGTCTGAAGCAGTTTGCCAATTATTTGTTCAAGAATCTGGAGAGTAATTCTGGCGAGGCTATTTGTGAGTTGGCCCCACTTACTCCCTCAGGGGTGAACATTCTGATGAAGAAGATTGACGCTCATTCTTATACCACTAGCAGTTCTGAGGGTGGTTTTCCTGCAGGGACCAAGTTCAAATCATTCTTGTGGCATGCTACCGCACCGATTCGACCAATGACCCTTCTTGCCGGTTTCCTCGCTATTTGGTTAAAGAAATGCGTGGTCTCATACCAGTCTTGTGACGCTCTGCCCTTGGAAGTACTCTATCCAGCAGTTCAGCTTGCCTACAAGAAAGAACTCTCACTTCTTCCGGTGATGGTGGCTAACATTCACCGAGGACTTCGACAGCTTTCTGGTGCCTTTACACGGAAGGAAAAGGAATCGCCGACTCAGATTCCCACCCTTAAGACAGAGCTCCCGTACACTTACTTGATGGCTTGGTTTGTCCTTCACCGTCCCGATATGATGTCGGTACCGAGCGCCACAGATCATTCCGTTCCTTTACTACAATTGCTTGAGAACGGCAAGTGGGAGGGGCGCGGATTTTCTGACGTCAGGCAGCAGCTGCAGGTCCACAAGTGTTGGACATTTTCCACTTGCTTTCCGCAGTTCTCCGGACGATACGGCGATAGTTTGACAGATGAGGAGAGGCCGAGAGAGTATCGAACTCACTTGGACATTGGCTGCTTTAACTGGCTGGTGAACATTAGGCCAGGTTATCTGACTTTTCGGGTGAGGGATCAGTGCTTCATAGAGCCATATTTACCCTGCCGATTCGCTCGTCAGTTTGGCTACGATCATCTTTAAGTCGGGAATCCTCGTCAGCAGCTTCGGGCCCATGGCGGTTTGGTAGATGGTCTCCGTGCGTGGTTGTGGACCGTGACTGGCTGTACTGGTGTTAAATTCAGTCTCCCGAGTGCTGATCGGCAGTTGCACCTCACTTTCTTAAGCTGCAAGTGGTTGTTAGCAGCCAACAAGACTATCCCCGTGAAGCCGATTGCAGAGTTAGAGGCCGAGGAAGCTTCTCAGGTTGATTCCCGTAGGATTTGGGAAAACGCTCGATCACAGAGGGCACGGAACAAGACTCGTCGGATTGATGAAGAGGGAAAGAAGACCTTTCATTCCGCAGACGAGGCTTCAGGGGGTGATCCTGAAGGTTATGAAGACTTTTCCGAGCGAGGTTTGCTATTCATTTTTTTCTTCCATCTTCCAGAAATATTAAAACTGACTATGGTTTGATGTTTCAGGGACCACAGTTGACCAGGATGAAGAGTTCCATCCCCCTCCCCAGGCGAGACCAATGATTATTGTCCCTGCTGCTAGGCGGAAGAGATTAGCCCGCAAGCAGTGCGTAGCTTCCCGAGCATCTGATATGGACTTGGCTGGTGATGATCCTGCTAGTGACGGAGGTAACATCTACTTTGTAAACCACCTTCTTGGTTATTCGGACATTGACTCATGCTTTTCCATCTCTATATAGGAGAGCGTGGAGAGAGCGAAATGAGTCCTGATTCCGTTCTTGTGTCTCCTGGTGAGCCTGACCCGCTGCCCCAGTTAAAAAGGCCCACAGGGGTTGCCGACATTAGGGAGGATAGCAATGTAGGACCTGATTCCGCAGATCCAGGTACATCTACTATTGACAATGTATCTTTTAGATGGTATACAAAAGAATTTGTGCAGCCTCTAATCATTTCTGTACATCTTGCTTCTTCAGATAACTTGCAGGAGACATACGTGGATTTTGGGAATAAAGAGGCTGACGCATCCATAAGGGGTAACTCATTTTTGTTGGTTGTAGTCTCTTTATTCTTCTTTGGTACTTATATTCTTTTACGTCAGATTTCTCTATTGATGATTTTGACGAGGAAGGCTTGATTGCGGAGACTCCTACACTCCACTTCATGTATAGCTCTCCTCAATTTGATGGCCAGTTACCCGGAGATATATTTTCCGAGCCTACGTTCGATAAGAATCTTGAGGATGATTCTTTCGAAGGTATATTCCTCCTCCCAAATTAATTATAGGACTAGCCAATTTTGACTAATGCAGCTATAATGTGACGCCTCTGAGAATTCTGACTTGTATTTAACAGGAGTTTTTGTTGAGAATGACCCTGTTGAGCCGGCTATGGGACCAACTACACCAGTTGATACACCCCCAGCCGTTAGACCTCCACCACCCCCAGTGACTCAAGAGGGTATGAATACTATTTATTTACTCTTCAAGGTCTTTTTCTGACGGTTTTTTTTTTATCGTGCAGGGAATTCTTCTCGTCTTCATATTCTGGCGAGGGAGTTGTTATCTGATGATGATCCTGAGAAGATTGTCATCTGTATAGAAGTCCGCTCCTTCTTCTCTTTCATGAATGCTATGATTGGCAAGCTTTTCCATGGTGGACTTTCTCTTCGCCAATTCAAGCCTTTCCTTGATTCTAAAGTCAATTTGATAAGGGAAGCGGGACATCCAGATTTGGCACAGGCTATAGTTGATGACCTTGATTGCCTAGAGCATGAGCTTCAGATGTTTCGTGAGCTCCGAGATGCAGGTGCCTCCTCATTTATTGCTGCCGAGCTGGACACCCGCTTACAGTCGTCACGCGAGACTCGGATTTTTGCTGAGCTCGAGATTCAGATGCAGCGGGGCCGAGTAGATCGAGTTAAGACGAGCCTTGCTACTAGATTATCTTCGCTTGCCGACCTTGATCTTTCTATTACCTCTTGTGCGACCGAGATAGACCAGCTCAGAAGAACACTCCGTGAAAAAGAGGAGAATTTGGATATTCTTCAGATGACGAAAGCACAGGATCAGCAAACCCACACTGCTTTATCTGATGAGTTGAGATCCCTGGAGCAGAAGCTAGCCGAGACAGAAGAGATCGCTGCGAGGACTTCAGCCGCCACCGAGGAGTCCATCAGGGCTGAACTTAGGCAAGCTTATGATGAGAAGCTTTCTAAGATCAGTCAGCAGATTTTTGGTCATGGTCTTGATGTATGATTTTGTTTGCTGAACACTTTGACTTTTGATTCTCTTAGTGAAACTTGCTTTCGTCTTTATTATGATTCGTCATTCCATTTGAAATGATTGACCACAATACTCATAGGATTTTTGGCAAACCCTCAGCCATCAACGGGTTTGATGAGCCTTTACCGACTACCGTTTGAGTCGGGCTAGCATGCGGATTGTTTAAATCCGTTCGCATGTAACGTTATGCTCGGAGATTGAATTCTCCGAGACTTTGTGCTATGATGTCGAATACATAGACTTCGCCATTGTTACGGGAATAGGCTACCCGGCGACACGTGTTAGGTGTTGACTTTAGGATTTTTGGCTAACCCCCAGCCTTCAACGGATTTGATTAGCCTTTACCGACTACCGTTTGAGTCGGGCTAGCATGCGGATTATCGGAATCCGTTCCGCATGTAACGTTGTGCTAAGGGAATGAACTCCCTTAGACTTCGTGCTATGATGTCGAATACATAGACTTCGCCATTGTTACGGGAATAGGCTACCCGGCGACACGTGTTAGGTGTTGACTTTAGGATTTTTGGCTAACCCCCAGCCTTCAACGGGTTTGATTAGCCTTTACCGACTACCGTTTGAGTCGGGCTAGCATGCGGATTATCGGAATCCGTTCCGCATGTAACGTTGTGCTAAGGGAATGAACTCCCTTAGACTTCGTGCTATGATGTCGAATACATAGACTTCGCCATTGTTACGGGAATAGGCTACCCGGCAACACGTGTTAGGTGTTGACTTTATCCCTACTTAGGCTTCGGGATAAAATACCCCAGAATCGAACTCTGGTGTCTTTTTCTACGGAAAAAGACTAAACCGGCAGCGCATGTTAGGCGCAGACTTATCCCTGCTTAGGATTCGGGATAAACTTCCTAGGATGAATCCTAAATTGATAAATTTCGGAAAAGATCGATGCGGGAAAGGCAGAATTTTATATTCTATTTCCCGGTCTTCTTTTAGGGTGAAGGCGAACCCGAAAACAAGGAAGGAAGAATTTTATATTCTATTCCCTGATCCTGGAAAGGAAGAATTTTATATTCTATTTCCAGCGAGGAAGAAACTAGAAGTGGGGTGTCCACTCCGAGAATCTGGAAAAATTTAGATAAACTTGCCTTTTATAGGATGAGTTATCTAAACTGAAAATGGGTTCTTCGTTTATCGAAGTGGAATTTCAACTTTGGCTATAACCATGGGAAGGCTTGACCAAAGAGAAAAGAAAGGAGTTCTTTCGTTTATCGAAAGGAGACTCTGATCTGAAAGGGGACCTTCTTGTCTATGGAAAGAGTCAAGAAGGTCATATGGACATTTTTTGTGGACCCACTGTCAATTGGAACTGATCAGTGAGGGATTTTGGTGGAGACAATGATTTCGGGTTATCCTCTAAAATATTAAGTGTAATATTCTTCGAGGAACTTCCCGGTAAATGAGTTATCCTGAATGTACTAGGGATAGTACTTTTTCAGGAACTTCCCATTTATTGGCATTAATTGCCTGGCGCCCTCTAGGGAAATCAGACGGTAAGCGCCGTTTGAATAGACTGTGTCTATCACAAACGGTCCTTCCCATTTGGGTTCAAATTTACCTTTCTTCTTGGAGGTGAGAATTATTGGTCGGCGAGCAGCGAGGACCAGATCTCCTTCCTTGAAGCTTCTCTGTCGGACTCTTTTGTTAAAAGCCCTTGACATCCTGGCTTGGTAAAACTCGATGTGTTGTTGAGCCTCCAAACGCTTTTCATCCAGCCTCTCGAGCTCTTCGAGACGCTTCTGATGTTGTTCTTCGGTCGTCATCTCCGTTGCGAGAGCGATCCGAAGGGAGGGAATTTGAATTTCCAAAGGTAGCACCGCTTCGCATCCATATACTAACGAGTACGGAGTAGCTCCCGTAGGAGTGCGTATGGTGGTGCGATAAGCCCAGAGTGCCTCCCCAAGTTTATCGTCCCAGTCTCGTTTGTTGGTCTTCACGAGCTTAGACAGGATCTTAATGATCGTCTTATTGAAAGCTTCAGCTAATCCGTTTGCAGCTGGATAATACGCTGTTGATGATACATCCTCGATCTTGAATTTATCACAAAACCTGATGAAAGCGTTGCTTATGAACTGTGGACCGTTATCGTGGATGATCCGTCTCGGCACGCCGTGTCGGTATATGACATGATGCTTGATGAAGTTGATGACGTTGTTTGTCTTCACTTCCTTAAGCGGAATCGCCTCAGCCCACTTTGAAAAGTAGTCAGTGATAGCGAGAATAAACCGATCACCTTTGACTGAAGGGGGAAAAATTGGACCGACAATGTCCATACCCCAAGTCTCGAATGGCCAGGATGTGGTTGATGTGTGTAATCGTTCTGGCGGTTGGTGCATATAATTTGCATGCACTTGACAGGCGTGACATTCTCGTGCATATTCGATTGCGTCACGTACCATTGTTGGCCAATAATATCCCATTCTTCTGATTCGATCATATAGCTTGGGACCAGGTTGATGCGCACCGCATTCTCCTTCGTGCGCTTCCTTAAGCACTTCTTTTGCTTCTTCGTTCGAAAGGCATCGGAGGAGCAAATCGTCATACCCCCGGCGGTATAACGTACGGGTCTCGATATTGTAAAAGAACCGTGGTGCTCTTCGGCGAATAGATTCTTTTTCTTTTACATCCTCCGGCAAGATGCCATATTGGACGTAGTCAATGATAGGAAAGCGCCAATCTCGGGACTCAGACCCGATTTGAGTTGAGTTCACCTCCTTGGTGTTTGGGCCCCTATCATCTTCTTCTTCATCGGTACCCATATTGTATAGGGGTACGAAGAGTTGATGCGATCTTACTGTGACTAGCAACTCTGTTTCAGGGGCTACCCGGTAACGTGTATTAGACGCTGACTTATCCCTACTTAGGCTTCGGGATAAAATTCCCCAGAATCGAACTCTGGTGTCTTTTTCTTCGGAGAAAGACTAAACCGGCGACGCGTGTTAGGCGTCGGCATATCCTTTCTTAGGATTCAGGATGAAATTCCCCATGCGTGTAAGGCATAGATTTTGGTGTTATTAATAACAACCTGTCACAATGTTGAATATGTGAACGGGTGTTCTTTTTGACGGTTAAGAACTAATCGGCGGCGCGGGTTAAGCGCCGACTTATCCTTGCTTAGGTTTCAGGATAAAATACCCCAGAATCAGACTCTGGTGTCTTTTTGTGCGGAAAAAGACTAAACCGGCAGCGCGTGTTAGGCGCAGACTTATCCCTGCTTAGGATTCGGGATAAACTTCCTAGGATGAATCCTAGATTGATAGATTCTTAGAAAAGGTTGGTGCGGGAAAGGAAGAATTTTATATTCTATTTCCCGGTCTTCTTTTAGGGTGAAGGCGAACCCGGAAAACAAGGAAGGAAGAATTTTATATTCTATTCCCTGATTCTGGAAAGGAAGAATTTTATATTCTATTTCCAGTGCGAGAAAGAAACTAGAAGTGGGATCTCCACTCCGAGAATCTGGAAAATTTAGATAAACTTGCCTTTTATAGGATTGGTTATCTAAATTGGAAAAAAGAGTTCTTCGTTTATCGAAGTGAAGTTTCAACTTTGGCTATAACCGTGAGAAGATTTAACCAAAGAGAAGAGAAAGGAGTTCTTTCGTTTATCGAAAGGAGACTCTGATCTGAAAGGGGACCTCTTGTTCATGGAAAGAGTCAAGAGGGCCAGAAAGATATTTTTAGTGGACCCACTGTCAATTATAATTGATCAGTGAGGGATTTTGGTGGAGAAAAATAATTTTGGGTTATCCTTTAGAATATTAAGTGTAATATTCTTCAAGGAACTTCCCGGTAAATGGGTTATCCTAAATGTACTAGGGATAGTACTTTTTCAGGAACTTCCCATTTATTGGCATTAATTGCCTGGCGCCCTCTGGAGTAATTAGGCGATATGCGCCGTTTGAGTAGACTGTGTCTATCACAAACGGCCCCTCCCATTTGGGTTCGAATTTACCTTTCTTCTTGGAAGTGAGGATTATTGGTCGGCGAGCAGCGAGGACCAGATCTCCTTCCTTGAAGCTTCTCTGTCGGACTCTTTTGTTAAAAGCCCTAGACATCCTGGCCTGATAAAACTCAATTTGCTGTTGAGCTTCCAAGCGCTTTTCATCTAGCCTCTCAAGCTCTTCAAGACACTTCTGATGTTGTTCTTCTGTCGTCATCTCTGTTGCGAGGGCGATCCGAAGGGATGGAATCTGAATTTCCAGCGGTAACACAGCTTCACATCCGTATACCAGCGAATACGGGGTGGCACCTGTGGGCGTGCGTATGGTGGTGCGGTAAGCCCAGAGTGCCTCACCGAGTTTATCGTCCCAGTCTCGTTTATTGGTTTTCACGAGTTTTGACAGGATCTTAATGATCATCTTGTTAAACGCCTCCGCTAATCCATTCGCGGCGGGATAATAAGGTGTTGATGAAACGTCTTCAATTTTGAACTTGTCACAAAATCTGATGAAGGCGTTGCTTATAAATTGCGGACCGTTGTCATGAATGATCCTTCTTGGCACGCCGTGTCTGTAGATGACATGATGCTTGATGAAATTGATGACGTTGTTCGTCTTTACTTCTTTAAGCGGAATTGCTTCAGCCCACTTTGAGAAGTAATCCGTGATCGCCAGAATGAATCGATCGCCTTTGACTGAGGGGGGAAAAATAGGACCAACAATGTCCATGCCCCATACTTCAAACGGCCATGACGTGGTTGATGTGTGCAACTGCTCTGGCGGTTGATGCATATAATTTGCATGTATCTGGCAAGCGTGGCATTCTCGTGCGTATTCGATTGCGTCACGAACCATTGTTGGCCAATAATATCTCGTTCTCCTGATGCGATCATACAGTTTGGGATCGGGCTGGTGCGCACCACATTCTCC